ATATTTTTAAAAATCTATAATCTTGGTTTTATTATTAGGTTGGTGCAAAAATAATGACGTAATAATGTCGTTTTTTGACGTTAAAAAATACGTCAAAAACGACATTATTACGTCATTATTTTTGCACCAACCTAATATTTTTGTAATCTAGAAAAGGTTATTAAATGAGGAATAACTAAAACGGAGGTTGGAAATGAAATGATAATGTTTATAACATCAACAAAATGTAATACTCGTAAACCACTGCTGGTGTTGAACTTCTTAAACAGAATATTACGATATTTACCTGACTCCCCACAAGGTAGGATGCAGCACAAGACTAACTTCAATGTGGGGAAATCCGAGCCCGTGGGCTCGCGCAAAAATTGCCCGTAGACCCCGCATAAGCTGGGTCGGGTATCTGTCTACCACCCCGGACGAGACTCTGGGTTGGTTACATGTACGCTAACAAGTTCTTTTCTCGCACTTCAAGCTTGTAGAACTCTTTTTCGCGTCCAAGCTATCTGGCCAACATTAATTTTCAAAAATTTAAATACAGTGTTAATCTACTGGCCTACTGATCACTCTTTTCTATTCCCACTCATTATTAATGTTTTTCTTACTAATTCTTCCACACCCACTAAACCCTTTTGAATTTATTGGCGATTTAAAACTGATTAAATGGCTAACCCGACTTAAACACATTGATATCATACATATATTTACATAAAGAAGTGATTTGTGTGTCAATAACTACTGAAAACTTGAACAAATTCTAATCTTTTTCTTTCACAAGGTAATTCTACACCTCGCGAGTGTTGATTGGTAGTGGTGCAGTTATGAGCAGCTCTGAACGTGAAATATGACGATCTGATTTCAAATCCTGTCAACAGCTACTGATGTTAGGGTATCTCCATAATATTCCTACTTTCTTTCAATTTAAAAAAAATGATCGTTTGCCAGTCTAGAAGTTAAAGAGTATTAAATGCGATACTGCGTAAGTCATAAGAAATAATCCTTGTCTTCTAAAGGAATGACACAAACAATCAAAATAAATAAGAGAGTGAGAAATTGGATGCGAATTGAGATTATTCCTTTTTTATCATCGTTAAAAGATAATCACGTTTCTCTTGTTTCGCTTAGTTAGAAAACAATCAAGATTAGATGGAAAACAAAAGTGTACCTTTTTATTTTAAAGATTTTTCTTGTAAACTATCAGACGCGATAAAATTGATCACTAAATGTCGGGTTCAAAATAAAGATGTCGGGTGGGAAAAGTGTAAAATTGGTTACATTCTGACAAAAGTGGAATCTGAAAGGTCAAGGGAATAAACGAATAAGTAAAATTTTGCAGATCACTGGATTCAAACACTTCGAATCTTCTGTATTTTTAACGGTTACACGAAATTCAGAATCTATCTATCTATCTATCTATCTATCTATCTATCTAGTTCAAGATATACATTTTAAAATGTCTTTTCATCTCTGCGTATTCTCCACTTCAAGCTTGGCGAATAGTGTAAGAGTGTTTAAGCAATATATTAAGATCTACATGAAAGTGGCAGCCAGTTCATATCTGTTCATACCTATTCTGTTCATATATATATATATATATATATATATATATATGTGTGTGTGTGTGTGTGTGTGTGTGTGTTTGTCTGTCTATCTATCTGTTCATACCTATATCTCTACCTATCTATAACTACATACCTGTTCATATCTATCTATCTATCTATCTATCTATCTATCTATCTATCTATCTATCTATCTATCTATCTATCTAAAGTGAGAAGGCGAGGAGGAAGAGAGAGAGAGAGAGAGAGAGAAAGAGATAGACATATATAGACAGTTTTTAAACCTTTTCTTGCCTGATTTAATATTCCAAATCTATAAATCAACCATTCATCCATGCATGGAATACTCTTGCCATATATGGTCTGCTGCACCCGCTGTTCGTCACGAGGTCATCGACAAAATCCAGAGACGGATAAGCAATGTGATGAGTCTTGATCTGGCATCTCGTCTACAGTCAGTTTCTCACAGACGTGATGTGGCTTCCTTCTGTCTTTTCTACAAGTATTTTCACGGCAACTACCCCCGACGTGCTACTCTCGCTACTAGGTTGGTATCTTAGTCCCACCCTTTCACTGTTGAAACGGTTAAATGTAGCCGTCTCTTCTACTCCAACAGCTTCTTATCTCGCACTTCTTGTCTGTGGAATCCTTTTCCTCTTACTTGCTTCACCGATATTATAATCTTCAAATATTCAAATGTAATGTCAATCGACATCATCTGATGCTTTGATCTAGTTCCCTGTCCTTCTCTTCATCCTCTCCTCAAACACCACTCATTACTCTTGCTCTCACTGCCTGTAACCACTTGCGTGCTAGTGGCACTCTCGCCTTGCTTGGGGGGGGGTATGCTTAAAAAAAATGAAAAAAAAGAAAAGAAACTATACACAATGATCAAAATGAATTTTTAAAAATAAAAAAATATCTTTCTTGAAACTTTTATTTTCGTATTAATTTCAAGCGAATTAAATTGAATATTTCCAATAAGTTAAATACTTTATTGTATTTAAATTGATTGGGACGATTTTTTTTAATTCGGTAAAAATTGCAGATTTTAGCCATATTTACAATTCTCTGTGGATAACGTAATTCATTAAAAAATATACTTTTCTGAAATTTTATTTGAGGAAAATTAAAGTTTAATCAACCTGATTTTAATCAAATACTGCTTGTTTTTAGTTTGAAACATCACAGAAAATGGTTTTTAACACGGATGTAGGTGTATTTATGACGTGTTTTATTGATATTTGGGTAATCTAATTTTTTTTTTATAGGGGATATATCCGTAAAATAACTTGACGGGTATAACGTGAGTGCTTTTTTATATATTATTTAAGTAATCAGTAACGTTAAAAAATAAAATATTCTAAGTAAACTAATATTACATTGAATTTTGTGTACTTTAGTGTTAAATTTACTATAGTTACACTCATATTAAATTATATAAATATATATATATATATATATATATATATATATATATATATATATATATATTATATCTATAAAATAAATATATAAGCAATAAAATCTATAATTAATATATGTAAAATATATGAATATTATGATATATACGTATAAATAATATACAGTTAATATTTGTAAAAAATATAGATATATAAAATATATATGTATATATATATATATATATATATATATATATATATACACATATATATATATATATATATATATATATATATATATATATATATATATATACAAGTTATATTGATACATATATATATATTATAAATTAACTGGTTTAAAAATACCGTTCCTTCGCTACACAGGAATTACCATGTTTCAAAAACAGAAGGTAAAAACTTCCAAAAAAGGTTCCAAAATTCGCTTGAAGATAAAACAGAACTAATGATTTTAATTTAATTATATAATTAAATTTGAAGATTTTAATTTCGGTTTATGAAACATGGTAAATCCTGTGTAGCGAAGGAATCATATTTTTAAATCAGTTAATTTATAATATTTATGCTCTGTAAATTTACATTGAGCACTGTTTTGTAAAACTAAAAAATATCAACAAGAACACCGGATTATATATCTTACTGTTCTTTCTCTTTATTATAATATATATATATTTTCCTACCTATTGTGATCGAATCTGATATATATTCAAAAACCAGCACAAAGAATGTTGTGGAGCATGTTCCAAAAATATTATTAACGGCTGAAAAAATTACTAGCGAATAGGAAAAGAGACTTCGGTGATATTTTTGTGCATGCTAAAAAATTTACGATTCAAATTAGTCATAAACCTCGTCTTGACATTTCCGACAGAAACGATTTTCTTTCATTCGTCGTTGGTAACAGATTGCGTTATTGGGTCACGATATTAATCGGATATTTACAAAAATCGAACGAACCTTTGTTTTTCTGGAGTGCACGTTTTTACCGACAAATTAAAAAAGTTGAACGTCGAATTAAAAACGCTGAATTTCAAGATGACAAAGGATGAATTTTCAAATTAAAACTTTACATCGCGAAAAATACAGTATTCGCTGACAAACAAACAAGAAGACAATATAATGATAGACGGATAATTAGAAATAAACAGGGCTACGGATTGTCCCCTACGCTTGTCAGCAAAACGGTCAGACATATATACAAATTACAAATGGCGGATACTAAAACCAAACAAGTACAACTACTGAAATATCTTGGAAGTATTTTAACAAAAGAGAGAAAGTGTGGTACTGAAATCCGAATGCACCCTGAAATCCGAATGCACCCTGAAATCCGAATGCACCTAAGCAAAGTATTAAGAAACATTAAAATTTCTCTAGAGACAAAGTACGAGTATTGAAATATTATGTAATATCGGTCTTCCTATAGGCCAGTGAATGCGAGACAATCTTCTCACAGACGAAGAAGAGACTTGAAGCAACAGAAATGTGGGTCTACAGAAGGATGCTGAGAATATCATGGACAGCATGGTGAGCAACGAGAACATTTTCGAGAAAGTGGAAACAAAAATGTAACTTATGGTTAACATCAATAAGAGGCAGTTCTAGAGTACATAATGAGGAAAGAAGGCTTGGAAAATGTGAAACTCACAGAAGAGAATGAGGGTAAGAGGTGGATAGAAAATCAGCGCTTAACCCACACCCTGGCATGTTTGAGTAAATGGATGGCAGAACAAAGTTAAGGATGGATAGCAAAAAGACAAAATTTATTAAGAGATGCAAAGGACAGGAAAGTGTGGAGAACTATGATTGTCAACGTCCTGAAATGACACGACATAGAGAAGAAGAAGAAGAAGAAGAAGAAGAAGAGAAAGAAGTAGTATATGAGAAAACGACGACGACGACGACGAAGAAGAAGAAGAAGAAGAAGAAGAAGAAGAAGAAGAAGAAGAAGAAGAGAAAGAAGTAGTATATGAGAAGACGACGACGACAACGAAGAAGAAGAAGAGAAAGAAGTAGTATATTAGAAGACGAGGACGACGAAGAAGAAGAAGAGAAAGAAGTAGTATATGAGAAGACGACGACGACGAAGAAGAAAAAGAAGGAGAAGAGAAAGAGAAAGAAGTAGTATATTAGAAGACGAGGACGACGAAGAAGAAGAAGAGAAAGAAGTAGTATATGAGAAGACGACGACGACGAAGAAGAAGAAGAAGAAGAGAAAGAAGTAGTATATGAGAAGACGACGAGGACGACGAAGAAGAAGAAGAGAAAGAAGTAGTATATTAGAAGACGAGGACGACGAAGAAGAAGAGAAAGAAGTAGTATATGAGAAGACGACGACGACGAAGAAGAAGAAGAAGAGAAAGAAGTAGTATATTAGAAGACGAGGACGACGAAGAAGAAGAAGAGAAAGAAGTAGTATATTAGAAGACGAGGACGACGAAGAAGAAGAGAAAGAAGTAGTATATGAGAAGACGACGACGACGACGAAGAAGAAGAAGAGAAAGAAGTAGTATATTAGAAGACGAGGACGACGAAGAAGAAGAAGAGAAAGAAGTAGTATATGAGAAGACGACGACGACGAAGAAGAAGAAGAAGAGAAAGAAGTAGTATATGAGAAGACGACGACGACGACGAAGAAGAAGAAGAAGAGAAAGAAGTAGTATATGAGAAGACGACGACGACGACGAAGAAGAAGAAAAAGAAGAAGAAGAGAAAGAGAAAGAAGTAGTATATGAGAAGACGACGACGACGACGACGACGACGACGAAGAAGAAGAAGAAGAAGAAGAAGCTGTATGAAACTTGAGTCTAAATGTCTCTGTACATGAGTGTACGTTTTCATGCCCACTGGTAGGTTAATTGCAGACATCGATTCATCGACTGCTTCTTCAGGGTCAGGTTATCTATATTTTGTTTGCGTAACGCCTGCTTGTTGTGAAGCCATCATGGTTTCAAATGTTTCAGTAATCCGACGTTTTCATAGCAGCCTTCACGATACGCCAGCATTCCTCGACTGGATTGAGAAATTCTGTTTTATTTGAAGTTAAACTTTTTAATTTGATGCTCATCTTTCTTAAATTAAGGCTTTATAAGGCGTAGTTTCAAAGCAAACAGCAGCCATAGAAGTGGTAGAACGTCTCGCAGTCAAGTGATGTAGGCTCTTATGAACTTTTTGGTCGTTACTGCGTAGTGAATTCGATTTTTATAGGACGCATCAGATTTGTGTCCTTAGACCAAACTAAATAAAGTTTAGTACTCATTGATACAGGAGAAATAAAAACGACATTTAGATAATATGAATCGTGTTGTATAACCCAGGGTCTTTATTAGTCACATTTAACCATTAAACCTTTGAGCTATGACCACCACTTTACTGGTGGTAAAGAAAAAAGACGCAATTCCCAGCCACTAGTTGAACGTTGGGTAAACACTTGTAATTATTTTTATATTTACCGTGAAAGATTACATACTTGTTATTTGCGAATTTTGATTCAGGACTCAGGCAGAAGGGCTAAAATTGTTCAGTAACGCAAGGCTTAGAGGGGTAAACGATAGAAAAGGTTGTACTCACATGCACACACCAAAAGAGTTACAAAGAGTAAATAGGCAGTTTTCATCCTTATTTCCACTTTTATTATATACACCAACTGTAAAAATAATATTTCAATTGATTTAGTTGAAAAAGATGAAAGGAGAATAAAGCAAATGTTAGGTTTCCTTATGTAATAGTTATAACATTATCGAAACCTACTATGGACAATGAGGTTTTTTTCCGCCAGGTTGTTGATATTTTCGGCTCTGGTATTTTTTTAGAAGTATGTATGAAGATCTAGGACTGTCTCTGGCGTGTTTTTACTGGTTTATTGGCAGGCAAATACACCAGGAAATGACGAAACTGAATGAATTCAATAGTTGCCCATTGGTCATTTAGATTCGAATCGATAATGAATGGTGCACAGTTCGAATGTAGAATAATTGTTGCCCGATTCATATCCTGAATGAATGATACCCTATTCGAATCCTGAATGATGTCCAATTCGAAAACTGAATGAATCACACCCATTTAAATACTGAATGTGTCATGTCCGATTCATGTCCTGAATGAATGATACCCTATTCGAATCCTGAATGATGTCCAATTCGAAAACTGAATGAATCACACCCATTTAAATACTGAATGTGTCATGTCCGATTCATGTCCTGAATGAATGATGCCCGATTCGAATTCTGAAAGAAGAATCCAAAATGAGTGATGCCCGATTCAAATCCAAATTGAATGTTGTCACATTCGACTTCTTAAAAAAGATGTCAGATTCAAATCCAGAATAAATGATGCTTGATACGAATTCTGAAACAATTATCCCTTTATTTAAGCGTATGTTTTGGATCATTATATTACTGGTAAGTAAATCGCCGGCCTACATGAAGATTCCGCGCTTATAGTTGTAGATTTTTATCCGGAATTTTGATATAATCTTCTGATTTCATTCTTCTTCTTATTGCAATTACTTGTCCAATTCCCCTTGAGAAGAATAATGAATGCTATTTCCCCCAGACCGTCACAATTTTGAGCAATTTTACAAGTAATTGCTTCCTTGAACACTACAAACGTTTACCTCTTCAAGTCAACGGTCAGGGTGGACGTGGAAACAGCAGTAGTTAAGAGGTGGTTCCACACTCCTGAAAACCTCCAATCTCTCGAACACACGACTTGCTGCCGGATGTAGTTTATTGTCATGCCCAGGAATACCACTGGTCACCAAAACTAGCTAAATAAACATTATTATAATACAAATGCCTTCTTTCCATACATAATGACTATCATAGTCTCGCACAAGTTCAGTCGCACAGTGAGAAACAAATATACGCTTGTGAAATTCACAATGAGGAAGGAGGGCTTGGAAAATATGATACTCACAGGACAGATAGAGGAAAAACGGGACAGAGGAAAGCAGCGCGTAACATACTTGATGGGCTTGAGCAAATAGATGGCAGAACTGGGTTTGAGAGAAATCGCAAAAGACAAAACATATTAAGAGGTACAATGGACTTGAAGATGTGGAGAGCCATGATACGTTCTGAAGAGACACGGAACATAAAAGTAGAAAAAAAAAGATAGTCTCGTGCAAGGTCACAATAGTTAGTCAGTGTATGCGAATTCCAACGCGTTCCTACGAAGTTACAAATTTATCGAGAAAAGATGGATACCAACTTAGGTATTAAGTTTTACTCCGTGTAAAGACCATAAGTTTTAGAAAATCACCCCCCCCCCACAAAAAAAAAATAACTCGTAATTTACATTTTTGTGGTGAATTTGTTGTGATTGTCAGGTAAAAAAAGAAAGTGTTACAGAATGAAGACTATCGTTGATAAAAAAGAATTGAAGAATTTGTTCACCAAAATGGGGACTGAGTTTTCTTTAAAACTGATTCCTCCGGCGAATGCTTGGAATTCAAAAAAGCAATAAACAAAAAAAAAAAAAAAAAACTTTAAATATTATTTAATAATAATCACGAACATCAAAGGATTGTTTACACTATTTATATTGTGTTGACAGTTGTCATCATCTTTATTGTCATTTCTCGTACGTTTCGGCCGTTGGACGCTTAGACTATCTTTTTTTTTTTAGCATTCAACCCCAAGCAAGGCATGAAGCCACTACCACACAAGGGGTTACAGAGTTGGAGCGAGAACAAAGAGGAGTGATAGAGGAAAGGATGAAGAGAAGGATAGTGGATAGATCAGGGCATCTGGAGACGTCGATTGACATTACATTTGAATAGTTGGAGATTATAGCTATCAGGAAAACAAGAAATGGGGAGGGTGTTCCACAGGCGAGAAGTGCGAGACATGAAGCTATTGGAGTAGAAGAGACGGCTACCTTTATGACTTTTTCTAACCCGAGGTGGTAGCACCTGCTAAGGTCCCAACTATGGGAAAATAGGGAAACTTCAAACAAATCAAATACTATGAAAGTATAAACATACATTTGTTTATAGTAAACTTGCCAAGAATGCATTTTTCTACCAAAATTACTAATGCATTTTATAGTATAATTACGAATAATACATTTTTATAATAAAATAACAAACAATACAAAATACCAAATTGTAGAATTTTATAGTAAAATTGAAGACATGGCGTATATAAAAAAAAAACAAAAAAACAAAAAACAAAAAAAAAAAACAAAAAACAAAAAAAACAATTTGCTATGATTAAGATTCCTTCAAAAAACAAGTTTTCATTACTCGTTTGAATTTGTAAGATTATTTGCGGACAAAAATCGCAGCTAATGAATTCTAGGTTAATCGTGATATAATTTATTCTCTTGAATTATAATGCTTGAATTTTCATATTGAGATTTTGGCATTAAATAACCCATGGAGGTGGATATGTCGTTAAACAAAAACAACCAACCAAACATTATTTCTTCGGAAAGAGAGTGGAGTTATTTCCCCTTTCCTTTTATTCCGAGTTTTCTTTCTTCTCGACATTTCTTACGCACAGCTAAAAAGCGTAGTCGACAATGTTATTAATTCTATGTTCAAAGCAAAAGAGAATTAATCTAAGCATTATTAGGGTCGTAAAATACTAAAATTGAGATATGCTTAGAAATATCATGAGAAAGTTAGCGATAATATATTTAATGTTTACTCTGTATATGATTGAAAAATAAAGTGAAGTATTTATTCCCTTTAGATTGCTTTAGAAGGTTGTCAGAGTTAGCTTTTCCTCAATTTCCTAATTGTTCACTAGGGGACGCTCTCCCTACACTATAAATACTGGGCGACTTCTTGTCTCGTTCTCTTTTGACTTTGCATTTCAGCAGACTCATTTAAAAATGTGATCTCTCGTTTTTGCCTACTTGTGGGAAAACACCATGAAGCACACATACTCGTACGTACGAACATTCACCAAAATACAAACTCTTTACGTTTACACACAAACACAAATGTTGATGTCTTTGTCACTTGTAAATTTGTTGTTTAATACATATATTTGTATATATATATATATATATATATATATATATATATATATATATATATATACTAGCAGTAGAGACCAGCGTTGCCAGGGGATGTAACAGTAAGAGATAGATCAAGTATCGACCATCATAAAGACTGAAAAATAAAATTGACAAAGATTATTTATTGTTTAAGGTTGATGGATCCGCATGTTTTAATTAGTTTTTTTTTTCTTTTACGAATTGGTTAAACCCAAACTCAAGTAAAAAAACATTGTTTTCAATCGTTATGAGTCTACCGATTGAATAGAATTTTATTATAAACAATTGTCTTGTAAATGGAATTTTTAAAGCATTCTGAATGTAAAAATAAAGAATAAAAGTGTGCAAGACAATAAGAAACACCAAAAAAGTGAAGTTTTGTTAAAATCGGTTGAAAAATGTAGGAAATCTGATCCCATATATAAACGAACACACACACACACACACACACACAAACAACCTGGGTTTTATAATAAGTATAACTTGATATGAGTTGTCCCCCTTTCATTCTCGCGATGCCTCTTAATCGTGTATATTGTTTTTTTTTTTCTTTACAGTTCGACTCAAGTTGAGTCCGCATTGTTCTTGTAGTTGGACCTTCTAGCAGGAATAAACAGCACATGTTCCTAGTTTAACAACATGTAAACACACCCGGTCCTCTACAAGATGACTCTTTCAATGAAAAATCATAGTGAGGATGATGTTCAAATTGATACTATTGCATTAGGGAAGATTTTAAAGCGATCACCAATAAAAGAAAATATTCGTTTTTATTTTGTTCGTGGTAAGCGAAATGGATATTTTAAAGTATTCGTTAGAATTCACGCTTCAACAATAGCAAACAGATATACGAATGAAAAAAAAAAGAAAAAAAATACTCTGTCAGCGAATTTCCATATGAAATTTGAAAGATAATATTTTAAGCTGGTTCTTTATGTAAATATTAATTCAATAATCTAATGGCAATATATTGTAGTTGGTTGCCTAATTCTGTCAGGGGAGGTTACTCGCTGAATCGGCTGATGGAATAAATAAGAAGATACTGTAATTGGATATAAATAAAAGAGATAAAAACAGTGAGGCTCTAATCGACTTGCTAAATGCAGTGCCTGTCGATGTAAGGAAACCTTCCGTTCGTGAATCAGGTCTTCATTTGATTATTTCTGTTCGTTTTCAAGCAATCAGCAGATTTTTACTGAAACCTGTCAAACGCTGCGCAGACTCGTCAGGTTTGAATAAGATTATTTCCAGCTTTTAATCTTAAGATTTGCAGCAAATAAGAAATAAAATGGAATGCCGTTTATTTTAGGAAGATTTCGTAAAACTAAAAAAAAAACGAAATTAGAAATATATATAAAAAAAAGAAATGAAAACGTGTGGGTGGATGTAATGTTTGGAACATTCAAAAACATCTCTCTGCATGGAAGCTAGAAAACAAAGCGATTTTTTTATTTTTGCAAAATGTTGTAAGCCTAGACAATGAAAAGATGAAGGTAGATTTAATTCAACAAGTATAAATTATAGCATATTATCTTTTAAATCGTCATTGATATTGGGTTCATAAAGTACAAGAGGAAGTCTGAGTAAAGAGTTGGGTTATTTTGTTTTACGGTATATCAACCTCAGTGGGTCATTTAATGCCGACAATTTTTATTGCTTGTAATGTTTTGTTTTGTCAAAAATCTATTTCTGGTAATATTTTTTTCCTCAAAAATGTTTAGGGGGTAATATTATTTTAAATAATGTATTGCTGGTAATATTTTTTTCAAAAATATATTGCTGGTAATAGAATTTTTTCCTTCAAAAATTTACCTCTGGTAATAATTTTTTACAAAGTATTTCTGGTATTAAAATCTGTTTTTACACTTTCATAATACTTTTTACCTCAGTCCGGGGGTTAACTATTTGCCCATACCTTGGACCCTAACAGGTGCTACCACACTTGGACAGGGTGGACCTGGAAACACAAGCAATTAAAAGGTGGTTTAACGCTCCTCAAAACCTCCGGATCAGAGGCCTTCCTGTTGGACGTAGCTTATCGTCTTACCCAGGGCGCGGATGTAGTTTGTTGTCATAGCCAGTACGCGGATGCAGTTTATCGTCATACCCAGGGCGCGGATGTAGTTTGTTGTCTTACCCAGGACGCGGATGCAGTTTATCGTCATACCCAGGGCGCGGATGTAGTTTGTTGTCATAGCCAGTACGCGGATGCAGTTTATCGTCATACCCAGGACGGAATTCTGTGTAAAGATTGATTCAACATCTGTCTATATCTATGAGTTTTGTAACTATTTATACTGTTTAAATTGTTCGGACTATTGTCCTCATCTTTATCATCAGATTCACGACGTTTCGGTCTTCTTCAGGTGACATACACTGGAATTTTATATTGTTCATGGGGGTAGGTTTTTCTAGTTCCACGTACCATACGTTTTCTGGATATCTCAGTTTCAGTTAATTTCTTTTTCGTAACTCCGCAAGTTCTGTTGTGGCCAGGTATTGAACTCACAACTCTTTGGCTCAAGTCACTGGATTACTTCAATCAACGCTTTTTATCCATTGGGCCTTGTGGAGAAAAGTGGGCGACATAAAGTGTCTATATATATCTATTCTATTCATGGTTCAGTTTGTTTCTAAAAATATCTTGGTTTATCGGAAAACAGTAAATAAATTGTAAATTACTGTTACATATAAATTTAGTATTGCTATTAAACCCCCTAATGAATGAATGCAACCAGAACGATATTGACTAATTGATATATATATATATATATATATATATATATATATATATATATGTGTGTGTGTGTGTGTGTGTGTGTGTGTGTGTGTGTGTGTATAATAATAATAATAATAATAATAATCTTATAATTATAAGTAAGTATACGCCTCCGGAAAAAAGTCTTAGGTGTTTTGGCTTGTAAATGAACAAACCAAAACCCAAAGAAAAATAAGGAATAAAACAAGAAAGAACTAAGAACATGTAATTCAAGCGAAAACAATCGTCCAGAATCCAAGCTCAGAGTCCAAAGAAAAAAACCTCCAACACGAGTAAAGCAAAAGTAACAAAACAAAGTGCTCAATACACTAAGTAGAGCAAATGTAACTATGAACCTAAAGAGTCAGGCAAACCTTCCTAAGTTTGGCTGGCTCTTTAGGTTCACACACACACACACACACACACACACACACATATATATATATATATATATATATATATATATATATAATAATAAT